CCCCGCCACCCTCCACGATGATGCGGCTGTTGTTGGGCTTACGCAGGGCCAGGACGCTCAGAGCTGCGCAGCTCTGCTCACACACCTGCAGGGGACAGTCACGGGAAGGCTGAGATGCAGTGGACAGACCTGCCCCCAACATCCTGCTGTGGCCACCGACCCTGGTGAACGCCCTGCAGCCTCCCCTCCGAGGGTCTCCGGCAGCTCCTGTGTAGTAACAGCACAATGGCAGCATGACACAAATATCGGGGTGACAAGGGCACTAGCCCTGGTCAGACCTTTGCAGGGTGCTGGTGATAATTCCAGGACACCCAGAGTCACGCACACGCAGGTCAGCACTTGACAGCCAGCGTCTGTGACCTTCACCCGCCCTGCCCTGGCCCTGCAGGGGAATAGATCTTCATGCAGGTAAAGAAACGGAACCGGGACCCAGCCACCGCCCGGCTACTCTGTGTGCCCCTGAGGTGGGTACCTGGGGGCTGGCCAGGTGCCGGGTCATGGCAGCCACGATGGACTCCATCCCGCCAGCATGGACGATGGCGTCCTTTACGTCGTCGTTGCCTGCGATGGCTCGCAGGGCACTCAGCAACTGCTTCACGAGCTCCTGCACGAGGGACAGGCCCGGTCACCCCAGCCAGGCTGCTGGACTGTGGGAGAATCTGAGGCTGCTTGCTATTTGACCAACAGGTATGGTGTGACTGCAGGGTGTGACTCCAATGAGAAGGGTAACAGATGCCTGTGGCTCAGGCCGCCTGTGTCCAAACAGTACCATCTAGGTGACTCGATTCCCCAGCCCCACGGGGGCGGAGGGGGCATGTGACTCAGGCCGGCCATCAGAGCACAGGGTCCCCCTGGCCATGGCCACAGACCCAGGGTGGGCACAGACCATCCTGCACTGCGGAGAGCGGATGAAATGCTATCTAGACCGCTGATCCCCTTGATGGGGAAGCTGAGGGCCCCGGCCCGACTGCCCAGGAGTGCAGGGCAAAATGCATCTGTTCATTTGCTGAAGTTGGTTCCCATTTAGCTGCCAGCCACCTGCACAGAAGGAGGCTGGCTGATGTCACCAGCTGGGCCTGGAGGCGTAGGACCATGGCACCCCCGGGGGCTTTCCTGCAGCTGCAGCTGGACAGGGAGGCACCTGTTGGTTCGCTCCCTGCTGTGGGAGGGCACAGAGCGAAGGGCTTGATAAGGGCTGCTAAACAGAGCGATGAGTAGAGGACCCTGCCCTATTCTGCAGATAGGGAAACTGAGGCAGAGAGGTTTGGGAACTAACCCAAGTATCCCAGTCTTGGCTGACACCCTGTGCCTCCCAGCATCCTTTTCCTGGTACAAAGGACAGTAAGGGAGGGCAGGAGGGTTTGTTTCCCCCTCGATCTTCACTGCCCTTGGGTCAGTGAAAAGAAAAATTGCACCTTGGTTCCGAGATTGGCAGGCGGGGCCAGCTTGTTCTGAGTGTGGCTCGTCAGCTGACTGGGGCCCAGAGGGACAGCGTGCACTGGGCCAGGGGGGTTTCACACCCAAACCCAGCTCTGAGCCCCCACCTGGTGGTCATTGCAGTCAGCCAGCAGGGACACCAGGATGCTCAGGCCCCCGAGGTCGACGACCTCCTGGCAGAACTCGTTGCGGACAGCCAGGCGGGACAGGGTT